CCTTCTCCCAGCCAGCCCAGCCTGCCCAGCCCTGATCGAGAGCCCTAATTGGGCCCCAATACAGGTGGGCTGGCTGGACAACCTCCCACCATCTCCTCCTCCCGTCAGGCCCAGTCCCGATCCGCCCTGATTGGGGCTGGGCAGGACAGACCCCACCCGTGCATAAATTCGTACACTGGGCCTCTAGTGTATATATATAAAAGCCTACGTGACCGAATGACCGGCCGGTGGCTATGATGCACACTGACCACCAGGGGGCAGACGCTCAACGCAGGAGCTGCCCCCTGGTCATCATTGCGCTCCCACAGCGAGAGCACCACTCAGGTGACAGAGGGGCGCCAGACACCGCCACTGCCTGTGGACACTCCCCCTGTGCGCCTGAGTGGCAGATGCAGCAGGGCCAGGATGAGCAGGAGCAGTGCAGAGCCAGCATGGGCTCAGGCTCCTCCCCGGCATCTGCTGCTTCCCGCACTACTTCGTGCTCTGTGGGATCGACATGGACAGAGCCCGACAAGCTGGAGGGTAAGGCCAGGCTGCGACAGCATGGAGGTCCACTGATCCCTGCAGGCCAGGCCGAGGGACCCCACTGGTGCACGAATCTGTGCACTGGGCCTCTAGTTTTTATATATTGTGCCTTTTATTGGTGATTGTGCAGTTTAAAATTGGCCAAGCACTGTCTAGTGTTCCTAAGTGAAAGAAAGCTTTGATGTGCCTTATGTAGAAAATACATGTTGGATAAGCTTTGTTAAAGCATAAGTTACAGTGCCACTGGCTATGAGTTCAATGTTAATGAATTAAGAACATATATAAAACAAGGTAAACAGAAACACATAGAACAAGGTTATGTATTGATCAGTTGATGAAAATGTTGTGAACAGAGACTCTCAACATTTTTTCTACAGACAACAATTCAGTATTTGCTAACATAGTGTTCTCAGTGACCTCACAGAACAGAACTACTTCAACTGTTGTTACATGTACCAACTCAACATGTAGCAACAGGAATGCCACCAAATTATAGACCATTTTCTGGAACAACAGATCATTTTCCCCAAAGTCAAACAGTAGTTGTAGATTTCTGACAGGATAACCACAGGGACTGATGATAGTGTTATTTCATAGCATACAGACTAAAAACATTAGAATAATGCAATGCACAAAGTTAGAAAATGAGTATTACTTCACCACAAAGATCAAGAGGTGGCTCCAAGGCGTGCATATACCCCAGGGGCATGCAAATGAATCAATGGGGTAAGGAAAGAGAATATAACATTTATCTATACTTACTAATCTCATCTCTAAATTCCAATCTATTTTATAACTTAGTAATAGTAAAATATGTATACACAATTTATAAATTCGACTAGTAGTGCCTGTTCCATTTCTGCTGATGTATAAGATCAAAAAAAGTTGGGAGATCACCACTGTAGAGGATCAGAGTGAGTAACTCAAAACAAATTCCAGGAGCACATGTCCTGCAGTGAAGGGAAAAGCTGGTGGCTTTGAGGACTCAGATGCACTGAGAACATCTATGGAAATCTGGGTTCTACTGCTGCTCTGCCCCAAGTTGTGATGATCCTCACACAGGCCATTCCTACAGGCATCAATTAACTCATGGAAGAAATTAGCTGGTTGTAACACTCACCAGACAATCTGAGCTAGCTGGCCTTCCTGCTCTAAAAATTTGACAATTCTATGATTCAGTGAAAAAGACATAATAGCTAGTAAGTAAAACAATTGTGTGCTGCTGCCTGGGGTCTAAAGGCTGAGGCATGCACTGATACAGCAACAGACTGTCCGCAGAATACCACTTCCCAGACTGGGAGGATTCAATGGAATTCTTTTTTTTTTTTTAAGATTTTTTAAAATGTATTTTTGTTGATTTTAGAGAGGAAGGAAGAGGGAGAGAGAGAGAAATATCAAATGATGAGAGAGAATCATTGATCGCTGCCTCCTGTACAACCCCTACTGGGGATCGAGCCCACAACCCAGGCATGTGCCCTTGACCGGAATCAAACCTGGGACCCTTCAGTCTGCAGGCTGATGCTCTATCCACTGAGCCAAAATGACTAGGGTTCTATGGAATTCTTTAAGAGCTCCTAGACTGTTAGTGTTAACTTATATAGTTAAACTAATCAACTGTAATTGCTCAGCAAAGAGAAAGAGACAAAGAGAAAGAGAGAGAGAGAAACATAACCATAACCAGTGCTGGCAATCTGTCTGCCATTCCACTAAATGAGAGTGTTCTATTCCCTGGGACACTCTCATTTCTCCAGTCTCTCTTACATCATTTGATCATAAACAAACTACTTTCTCTGGTGCTCAAGGGAAGAAGCAGGAATTATTTCAACCCTAAAGGAAAAATGGCTGCATGTGACTTACTGAAAGATGGAAATCAGCCTCCAAAGAGGACTGACTTCCTAAGGATATTTCAAGGACAATTTTTGACAATAGTCAACTTTCACAGTATACACCGAGAGTAGAACCAAACCCCCAAGTAAAGTAAGACTCATTATAATAATGTAAGTGAAATTTGTTACAATATGCTTTTATGGTACTTCATATTGTTTAAAGTGCTCTCATATAACAGTGTCATTTAACATACACAGCAGCCAAGCAAAGACAGAACAGAACTGCAGTTCCCCATTTCAGAAATCAAGTGCAATAATGGAAAAAGAGTTTTGAGCCAGGCAATACAGGTTCAAATGCCAGGCATTTTTTTCAGTTTTTCAGAGCCTTAGTTTCCCATCAGTAAAATGGGAACAGCTGCACACACCTCACAGACTTCTGACGATGAGTCAAGTGTACAAGTCACATGTATACAGTACTGTATCCTTTCACATTCCACAGGAAATAGTGTAAGTTCACACACCTACTATGACTAATCCCCAATTCCAAGCTCCATGTTCAGAGGTTCAAGAATGTAAAAGGTGTTCAAAAGACAGAACTATTTTGCTAAATTTATGAAATGCTCTCTTGAAGGCTCACAAAGCATATATGTGTGTAGATGTGTATGATATAAAGGCTCTATTTAAATAAAGCTGGTTCAACATGCACAGAACATTTCCCAAAAATGCATTTAAATAATGGAATCCTTTTTTGCATAGTTGGTATAAACATATAGACCTAATGTTCTTCTGAACATACTTTTGGTTGAAAATACTTTAGAAACATTGATATTGATAAATTAATGTATAACAAGTTAATATCGTATCCGATTAATGTTTAACATTAATAAAAGTAATTAATAGGTTATAGGACAAAGCACAAGAAATCAGGGATACCTGCAATATCATACTAATCCGCCACACCAGGTGGAATCAAGCAAAAGGCAAGCGCTCACCTGCCCCGCAGGCGGAGCACACTTCGCCTCGCTCAGCAGCTGCGGATCGGACCATTCCCTCCTCCGCCCTTTTCCGCCGCCACCTCCATCCCTTCCCACCCACCTGCATCTAGCCAAGGGCAGGGACGGGGTAGGGAGACATGGGGCTATGAGAACAAGCAACCCTGCAATCCGCTGCAGCCTTTCTACTCCCATCCCACAGTGGGTGCAAAGCCACACCGCCTCTCCCACCTCTCCTGTCTCTAGTGCAAGGTCTACAACACTTTAAAATTGTTTAAAATTGTTTTAAAGCACAAACACTTCCCGTCTCCCTTTAGCCCCTCACCTTCACGAAAGCAATCGGGGTGGTGGTACCTTCGATATCTAACAGGATCACGGTGACTTCGGCTGGCACCGAAAGCGCGACCATTTCCCTACCGGATGCTACCACGGAGATCGGCCTACTGGACGGGAGGGCGGCGCCGACTGCACCCCCAGCACCGTCCTGGGCTTCCGAAAGCTCCGCAGGAACCTCGGAGCGGTCAGCCACGTGCGGCCTGAAGCACGAGGGGAAGAGGCCACCTCCACGCCACTGAGAGTGGAGAAGGCAACCGAGTAAGGGACCTGAACTAGGGAGCTGCCCGGGGCCGGAGGCCGAGACCACGTGGGTTGGGAAAGAGGCGGGCCGGCGGGGCTCTGAGGGGGCGGGGCAAGCAAAGGCAGCGATGCCGACTGGCCGCCAGAGGGCCATGGACCCATCCGTCAAGTCGG